AATTATGCTACCGCGGCCCTCACGGACCGCGTCGAAATTTCTCTAGCCATTCTTATGCTGCAAGGCATTTATCTTTATTTTCTTTAGATTTAAACATCAAGTAGTTACATGCTTTAAAAAATAAAAATTCGCACCGCACCCTTCGCAATCCGGGCGAATGCACTGACCAATTATACTACCGCGGCCCTCACGGATCGCGTCGAAATTTCTCTAGCCCATTCTTATGCTGCAAGGCATTTATCTTTATTTTCTTTAGATTTAAACATCAAGTAGTTACATGCTTTAAAAAATAAAAATTATAAGTATTATCGAATTTTAAAAAGAGTCCGCGCAAATGGTCCGTTGACACGGTTCGCTCACACCTCTAAATAAACACTGGGCTGAGTAAAGCTGGCTACGTGCTTACTTCCCTCCATATGTACAAATAACAAAATGTATCAACAAATTAACTAACTACATTTCGCATAATATAAAACAGTCATCTAACTTCCCGAAACATGATCACGATGACATGAATTAATACTTACAAAGTATGACTGCATCTGTTAAAACAGAAATAAAAGAATTTCCTGAAACAAAACCATTAATTATTGTGGATTTTTAGAGCAACAGTTTGATGACACACAACTATAAGTCCCGTTGCTTTATGAATATCAAATTATACTGAGAACCAAATTTAATAGTTTTTTGCGAATTTGCTAGGTAACTGAGAGCGTTATGTTTGGGAATATAGGTCGTTCCGGGTTGGATCAGCGCCGAGTTGGATCTGGTCTGGACTGTAGCTACTACTGTAAACAAACGTTTATTCTGGCCAGAAACGAAGAGGGATATACTGGACTCTTGCTCTTGAACTACAATTATACTTGGCTGTCATTTTATTCGATTACGTACTGAGTTTTTCAATAAAAGTAGTCCTAATGATCACTGAAATGATCACAGATTCTTTTTGTCAATAATGACAGGTATTCTAAACATTGTTGGTATTTTTCCCAAAACTGTGGAATATGTTGTCGCCAGCAGTGTTTCCGGACCAATACGACCCAAGAACCTTCAAAAAAAGAGCGTACTCCTTCCTTAAAGGCCGGCATCTCATTTGTGATACTCCTGGTGTTGCAAGTGTCCATGGGCGACGGTGATCACTTACCATCAGGTGAGCCGTCTGCTCGTATGCCCCCTATAACATAAAAAAAAACTATTATAGTAAAAAGTTTTGAAAAAGCAATCTTTGAATATTCCTATAGAAGGCAAAACTTTATACACTTAAGTCTAGATATAAACATTTTCCGTGCACAGCAAAATACGAATTTGTTTCTTAGGTTTTCACGCACATCACTCATTAAATAAAACTAGTTCTAACGGGTTAATGCACGAAACTTTATTTATTTATTGACTTTTCGCAGCCTTTTCTGGCATTTTTTATTGGAACGAAGTTCCTTACGGCAGGCTTGGAGGGGATAGGGATTTTGCTGCGCGACCGAACTGAAAAAAATGTGATAGTAAAACCGTAAGAAAAAATCCGTGGAAAAAAGTGCGTGGAATAAAACCGTTAAATGAGACGTGCGCAGGCGCGACAGTCGCATACACAAGCGAGTTTGCAATTTGTGTCGATTCTACATTAGCCGAAGGAACTTCGTTCCTACCTGGTGTCCCACGACACCACATTTTAATTTTTTTATTTATTGACATTCTGCATCGTCAGAATGTCAATATAAAGTTTCGTGCATTAACCCGTTAAAACTAGTTTCATATAAAATACGAATCACTCAAAGGGATATTAAGATATGGAAGAAAAATCTCTGCCAACAAACAAACGTATAGGAAATTGAAGTCTATAAAAATCTTAATTTATCTGCTCCGAACTGAAAGGAAGTCTTAAAAGCACACACGCACGTAACGAATGTACTAACCACGTAATTGTGACGCGCGGATTATTCGCGAAAGCAATAAAATGTTACAACTAGGATGTTGTAGTATATTTGCCCGCGGCGAAGGCGAGTGTTGTTATATTAGCGATGTGTCGTGTCGTGGCTGCCACCCACCACACAAACGATGAATTGAGCTCTCTCCCAGCTGCTGATCATAATTTACTCTAATAATGTAAAAACTTTGTGTAATCGAAAAATATAATGTCGCCTTTGACCTTCAAACTTTTCGTGCTAAATCTAACTAGAAGGAACTCATCCATATTTCTCACTTTCGATTACCTATACATATTTGAGAAGCGAGACAGATTGAAACAGCCGCAAAGAAGCAGTTCATTCTCATCTTTATATATATAATTCTTCTGTGAGTGTGTATGTCACTGAACTTCTCTTAAACGACTGGACAGATTTTGATGAAATTTTTTGTGTGTTCAAGGGGATTTGAGAATGGTTTAGATTCACAATTTTGTCCGCTGGACAATGTTTTTTTAATTAAATTTTTTTATGGCGGTACGAAGTTCGCTGGGTCAGCTAGTATCTTTATATATATAATTCTTCTGTGAGTGTGTATGTCACTGAACTTCACTTAAACGACTGGACCGATTTTGATGAAATTTTTTGTGTGTGTTCAAAGGGATCTGAAAATGGTTTAGATTCACAATTTTGTCCGCTGGACAACCCCTATTTTTTTAGGGCGGTACGAAGTTCGCTGGGTCAGCTAGTTATTGTATAAATCTTAATCTAGTATAAAGTAGTGATGTAACGAATGCCATTTTTTGAACATTCGCGAATGTGAATGCGAATATTTAGTTTTTGTTGAAGATTGGCACCGATTGTCTATGCCATGGTGGCGGTCTCGTTCGAATTGCCGAGTTGATATGAACTCATCCGACTGAAGTGTCATTCCACTCGCGCCGGTCTTTGCGTAAACAAAACAAGTGAATTTTGAGGTTAGTTTGAATAGTGATTTAGTAACAGGAGTAAATCAAATTCTAGTGAAGTATGGCCTTTTTTCACACTTTGCGATGCTGAAGGAGCTAAATGAAAGCTGTGTAACAATGAATATTCGAGAAAAGGAAGAACTACAACTTCTTCAAATTGTTTTTCTCTAATATTCATAATTATTCGCAAAATATTCACAGAGATTTTGCGAATGCGATTGTGGATGCGAATATTCGTTAAATCACCAGTATAAAGTGTTTCAATCATTACACATTATGATCAAATAAACAATATCCATTCCTTTAGCTCTATCATAACATTTCAATCTCGCTTCACAGTTAACTGCGACCAACTATCGGTGTACCGGTATTGGCCTCTGAAACTCAATAATAACTGTATCGAGTATTGACTGCCATTAAACCACACTGTTACTCCAGACCACAGACAACATTATACATAGAGTTACTGAGCATGACGCTACAACTCTATATTGCAATGCGGTTGATTTTCATCTCAAATTGCAAATTGTAAAGATTATGAACTATTGAAAAAAACTTTATCAAAACTAATAGGTGTGAAAGTGATTCTTATGTTTCGACTTAAAGGAGTTTCGTTTTGACTAATTTAATTTAAAAAAATCTCGCGACACAATTTTAGTTACCATACTCCTCCGAAACGGCTTGACCGATTTTTATTAAATTTTATATGCATATTCAGTACTTAGGGCTAAGAATCGGCTACTATCTATTTTCATACCAATAAGTGATAAGGGTTGTCCACCCCTAATAATAATTATATTTTATTTCTTTATAATGTGGCATTAAAAAATACACACAATCCTAAATTTTCACCCTATTTACCACCAGCCCCTATTTTTATGGTGGTACGAAATTCGCTGGGTCAGCTAGTAATAATATCATTTAACTTAGGTTCTAATTTTTAACGCAGAGCAAATTATTAACCAATAACTCTTCTATCGAATCCGTACGATCTTTCTCAAACAAACCTATACATAAGTACATAACCTATTACACAATGTTGAAAATTCTCGAGAAAAATAAAAATAGCGGTGTCTGAAGGAAGGGCGGCCATCTGTAACGCCCAAGGTCTATTTCACTACGATGCGATAGTGCCCCGGCTATTTATAGGCGGACGTATCGGGCTCTCGGAGATTTAGAAAGAAACCCGTGACGTCATAGCAGTTAAAAGCGATGGATAACAGAAGAGGTAACATTAAAAACTCTTTCGAGTTTATTGTAAACAAGAACTGCAACTGTTTACGAAAGGTCTGTGAGTAAACTTTGTGCATAGAATTTTACGTAATAGAATCAATTTATACGATACTAGCGGCCCGTCCTCGCTTCGCTTCGGTGTAGAGCTGAAGTGTAGACTACAGTTTTTGTTCTCAGGCTTGTATTATACACAATGACATTCATCTATGATTCTTCTTATACCTGCATGCAAAGTCTCAGCCAGATCGATTTAAAATTGACAAAGTTTCATATAAACTTTCATTCCCTATTTTATCCCATTGGGGGTAGAATTGATCAAAATCCTTTCTTAGCGGATGCCTACGTCATAACATCTACCTGCATGCCAAATTTCAGTCCGATCCGTCCAGTGGTTTGGGCTGTGCGTTGATAGATCACTATGTCAGTCAGTCAGTCACCTTTGAGTTTTATATATATAGATTCTATTAAGTACAGTACCCCTAGCACGAACCAATATCGAATTCGAATCTTTTGCGAGTGCGAAATGTCATTGTCAAATGTGTACTGATTTTTAGTGCTCGTTACGTCCGTTTTGGCGCTGCTGTTCAAGTTTCCATACAAAATGTGACAATGACATTTCGTACTCGCAAACTATTCGAATTCGATATTGGTTCATGCCAGGGGTATTGTTTAAATAAGTATTATTTAGTTTCTTTTATTATTATAGTTCTTCTAATGGAATTGATTGGAAAAGCAAAGTGCCATTTCTAAAATGGACTTCAAACTGCGTGGAATAAAATGTTCCTCTACTACCAGGTCTAAGTTGCGATTTTAAAGATCTTTCAAAGGTCTTTGATCAAAGCTAATACACCAATGTTAATATTTATTTCCTTCGATTAATGGATCTATTCGTAATTGTCAGCAGGAGACAGTCCGCAGCAGCAGCGGCGGCCAGGTCACCAGCAGCACCAGTGTCGAGGAGTTGGACCTCGATCAGTGCTGGGACGAGCGGATACTTAGGAAACTCGTGAGTCACAACTTTTGGTATTACTAGGTATTATTGCGTAGGTATTATGCGTAGTAAATTATAAGGCTCAATTTAAAAGTCAATAGGCACGTTATTATAATAGGGGTGATGACGGGGTACAGTAAACGAAATTCTATTTAGACCGTCAGTTAGATGATCAAAAAATAATGGACACGTATTTTTTCTTTGGGCAATCAACCAAAAAATGACAAAGTTATAGCGCGTCAAAGTTTGGGAGTAGGGGCTCGTGACGTCACTTTTGAGTGAATTTTCACTTATAAGTGTACTCAAACGTGACGTCATGCGACTTTTCAAATCAATATATCTCCGCGATGTTTATATTATGTGAAAAAAGAAAAAATACGTGTCCAATACTTTTTGATAATCTACCTGATAAACGAAGAAACAAAAATTAGTCATCATCCCTATTGTTCTTCTAAAACTTAAACAAAGTACAGGTCACGCCACGTTACTCTAGCGATGAACAAAATGCCCCCCAACACATCCTAATTTTTACTTCTGCGCAATAGCGTTCAGCGCTACAGATTCGTACCGCGACTCATAACTTGCCTTTTTAGGGATATTCAAAAATTTTGTATTTTACTAAGAATGCGGCTCCGCGTGAAGAATATAAAAAATGAGGAGATTTTGGGATTTCATTAAAATGACAAGATTTAAGATTTCATTACAAAAACACCATCTCCTTTTCCGAATTTTTAACTGACGAAAAAATGGAGGAGATTCTCAAGTCGTCGCGTATATATTTTTTTGTGTATGACCATGCATAACTTTGTACAGACTAGTCCGATTTTCATGATTCTAAAATAACTCTTTGGAAAGTATACCCCGAAGTTGGTCCCATAAGAATTTGGAAAAAAAATCCAATCCACGCTACAAATCGTCATTGCTCGCTTCTTGTGGCCCGCACCGGCCACTTAATGCGCCGATACAAAACGCCGCCACACGCCACTCGCGCGATTCCCCACCCCTCTCTCCTTTACCTTAGTCGGCCGCTGTCGCGCGCTTCAGCCACTTTAGTAGCCGCTTCAAGCTTCTTGTGGCGGCGTTTTGTGGTTGTGGTCGGTGGCCCGTGTGCGGCGACACTAAGAGTATAAAAACAGTGGATTATTGACTGTTCGCTCACTAATTATGACTACACATTACTTCTTACAGAGTAGTCTGTTTTTGATAGTTCTTTTTTTATTGGAAATGGTATAACCTGAAGTTTGTCCCATATGAATTTAGAAACAAAAAGTCTACCCTATGGAAAAATAGGGTAGAATGTTCACTCACAGATTTTGATGCGAGTTGTATATTACAAAAATAATTGCCACAAAAAATATAAAATAAAACTTTTTAACAAAAAATGAAACTACCGAAAAGTAAAAAATAATAATCCTTTTCTTATCTTTAGTCAAATTAATATTTGGAGTCGGTGCCATGCAGGTCTGATAGATCTGAGTTCCCGTTTACTACTTGGGTTGGCCTGGAACTAGCTCTGACTTCAAATGTCAATCTGGCTAAAGATAAAAAAGGTTTATTATTTTTTATTATTCGGCGGTTTAATTTTTTTGCTAAAAAGTTTTACGTTAGTGTAATGGCTTTTCCATTAAAAAACTTTCATGCGAATCTTGCATAACGAGTACAACGATTAAAAATTATTCCATTTCCTTGCAGTATCTACGAAATTAAGCGGAAACATACTTTTAAGCGATGCACTTTGTATCAATGAGTTTTTATATTCGATTAAAATAAATTTAAATGACACCAATTTTTGTATATACTTTCATAATTATATTATAGTACTATTGTTGATAATGACTTCAATGATGCGGCCAGTAATTTCAATCACAAGACATTTTTATGATAATAAATATTATTTTTATAGTCTCCATGACGATTTCTAAATCACTAAAGACTATTTATTTTACCCAATTTGTTAATTATGTGGATAATCCGTTAATTATTAAATCTGTATTACTTTAAAATCGGTAAACGGTAGCTGTGAATCATAGTTGATCGAGATCAAATCAGTTCTGCTTTGTGTCCACAACTTTGTCTCGCAGACAAAAGACCTTTTGTGTCCATTTAAATACAGGTGAAAGTGGTTCATTGCAATTTTTTCGACGATTTACGCAAACTACAGTGTCCACTGAATGTCAGAGAAACATTTTTTCAACACTTACCTACTCTTTAGACATTGGATAATTTCTTTAAAAGCACGTAAGACTGCGTAAGAGTTCCGTAATGGTCTATAATTATGTAGGAGTGCAAATCATCTATACTACATCGAATGACCGCCTCTCTCGTGTTCATGTAACATCAGATATTTGACAGTCATCCATCGGTGAAACCGAGTCGAGACTGCACTCACTTGTGACGATTATACGCGGAAATGTTAAGTCAGCCAACTTAATGAATCAAATTAACTTAAATCATAATTTCTTTAGTTATAACAGGCGTAGGCGCGGTATTTCGCAGGACTTGCATATAGAGCTTACTTGGGCATTCATTTAATAATGAAATAACAGGTGAATTTAACTTAAATGGCATATTAGCTATATTGTTGTGAACCTATACCCCCTTATTAATAATCAAGGAAAAAGCTTAGACTTAGACGAGGAGCTCGATGGCGCAAGTGGTTGGCGCATTCGGCTACGATCGTTGAAGTTAAACAACTTTCGCAGTGGTCGGTCATTGGATGGGTGACCAAAATTTTACTATATCGAGCTCCTCCGTGCTTCGGAAGGCACGTTAAGCCGTTGGTCCCGGCTGCTTCTGCAGTCGTTAGCACCCACCAATCCGCACTGGGCCCGCGTGGTGGGTCATGGCCCAATCTCCCTATTCTATAAATAGGGAAGGCCTGTGCCCCAGCCAGACAGAGACAAAACATGGAATAACTAATCCAAGCGAAGTCATCGTTTATTAATAAGGGAATAGGGTATTTGACAAGTTTTAGAAAACGATCTCACGTTATTGACTAATGTTTATGGAGTCCGTAAAAAGTGGATATTCATCATTCTGTTGTGTATTTCAGTAAAAATAACCAAATCAAAAACTCCATTTTCAAGTTGCCGCGAAAACGTTTTTCTGGACAATATGGCGTCTTACTAGGGTGTGACGTCACACGACTGTTATTAAAACGTCAAACGATGCAATGTAATGTCACTTTAACCGGAAGTTTACTTGCGTGTGACGTTAGGCTCCGCCAATCCCAAGCGATTTGGGTCACGTGACAATAGATAAGAAAACTATTCTTTTTCTTGGGTTTTTAGTAAAATAATGAATATTTTTTTTGTAAAAATAGTACAAACCCTTGCCAATATTAATTCTAAACACAGATGCTAACAATTGGCACTTTATTGACGTGACAACGTCTTAAATTAGGTTGCGGCTGGGAGTCACTTATGAAAAAGTGTAACGCTCGGTAACGTTACGATGAGTCTCTCGTGTTAAGTTTAAGTTTACATGTACAATGTTTTAGTAAACAAAATATATTTCTATAGTTAAAATTTGTGCAATTCTTATTTTCATTCAATTCCTTGTTCCTATTATGCAATTTAATTATATTCATATCAATAAATATTCTACCGAGAAAAAGACGTTGTCACGTAAAATCTTCGCCCGTAAAACCGACTTTACAGGCAACCATTTTTTTTTAATACTGTCAAATACCCTATTAGTGAGTAAAATCATCAGAAAACTTAGTCAAATGCTCATAAAAAACGTCCATCAAGTTATGGAGCTTTGGTGACCAAAACGACAAGATTGCACAATCATAACGATATTCTTGTTCCTTTATTAAAAAGACCACTTATAAAATGTCTGTCATAATTATCAAAAGAATTCGATAAAACATATTTTAGTAGGTCTAAACAAATTTTAAACCCCTAACCACTGACCGTCAGGAACCGTATCTTTTTTGAACAGCTTTTCATAATATGAAGTAGAATATAAAAATCTGAATAGATGAATAGATCTGAATAGAGTGCTTGTTGACACTAAAACAAAACAAATCCAGCTAATTTCAGCGCCAGTTACCAACGGGATGTGAAAATATGAATATTTATAAATTCTCTCACAGCCTGGGTGGCTAGCATTAAGTTTTATTCGTACAGCGATGATGAATCAAGCGCAGTTTCCGTTAAGGGCAGCCTGTCATGTATCGCTACTTGTTGACTGAACGCAAACAAGCTTCAGACCTACCTACCTACCTCCCGAACGAAGTCGCTCACGACTAGGGACACGATATCGAATAAAAAGTATCGATACTGTACTCATAAGTAGTATCGGAAAAAAAGTATTATATAGATATCCGAATTTCATAGGACCTTATAAGCAACCCCTCCCCCCCGGGTTAAAATTAAAAGAAAAACAAAAAAAAATATTATAGTACGTATAATCAAAAACAAAAAAAAAGGACATGTAAATTCACAAATTTCTATATTATGTAGATACTCTTAAAAAAAATATTTTAGAAGGTTTGCTATGATTCCACTAGATGGCGTTCAATTATAAGGCGCTTATCCAAACTTTTAAAGTTATTAATACTTGCCAAAAAGTACTCATTTAGTTGAAGTATCGAAAACCAAGTATCGAGTACAAAAGTATCGGTATCGAAAGGAAAACTACTCGATACCACAAAGTATCGATACTTTTTCGTGTCCCTACTCACGACAAATTGATCCGCACCTACTGGGAGTTGAGGCCAAGGCACGAGCTTCGGAGATGTCATTTATATAGTATATACTAGCTGACCCAGCGAACTTCGTACCGTCATATAAAAATAGGGGTTGGTGGTAGAATAGTGAAAATTTAGGGTTGTATGTATATACTAATGCTGTATCATAAAAAAAAAAAATTTTTTTTTATCTAAAATTGAAAACAAAAATTGGGGTGGATTACCCTTAACATTTAGGGGGATGAAAAATAGATGTTGGCCGATTCTCAGACCTAACCAATATGCACACAAAATTTCATGAGAATCGGGAAAGCCGTTT